ACAAAGATGCATTTCTGGCCTTTGCGCTGCCAGGGATCCCCTTCAGGGTCAGCCCTTTCCCTAGATGTGCCTGCTGGGACCCAGAGCTGAGCTCAGGGCATAGCCCCGCTTCTGCTCCTGCTAGATTAATGCCTGCTAAAGCCAACAGGACTCTTCGTCCTCTCCCGTGTGCTGCGCTCAGAGCAGGCAACACTGGAGCTGACTCAAATCTCCTGCCAGTTTCTGCCGCTGTCATCATCATGAGCAGGGTGTCGGGCCCTACCATGCTGGGCTGTGAACTCACACTCCCTCTTCCCTCTTTGCTGCCGTTTCTGCAATGCCATTCCCAGTCCAGGCCTGGAAGAGGAAGGCAGGGTATAGGAAACATGATACTTCATTACAAAGCTTCTGATCCCCTCACAAGTGCTCCTGCAAGTCACAGCCCTCACCCACTGTGAGCCTACAGGCAGGGAGAAGGTGCCTGGAGCAGCCTTGCTGCCCTCCCCACAGCAGGGGCTGAGGCAGGAGGGCAGGACTTGCCTTGGGGCGAAGAACAGGGTGAAGTGGATGTGGGGGGCTTTGGGGCTGCTGCTCTCCTCAGGGAACATGGAGCTAGGCGGTTCGCTGCTTAGTTGTGAGCACTTCCATTTTCTTGCTGTGGGCACAAATCTGCGTCTCTCTGGGGGTTTTCACACCTTCCACCAGCACGTTTTTCACCTGGCACTGGGGACATCTGGGCAGAGGTGTTAATGGATGGAGATGTGATGTATGGCCAAAGTAGTGCTCTGCGCTACTGCTTGCTCACTCTCCATTGGGTTTACTTTGTGTGATTCTCAGTCTTCAGTTTCCCTCCCCTCCTTCCTCTTTTTTCTGGTTTTAATTCCCTTTTCTCTGAGCACCTTAATTTGACCTCTTGCGCCCTGATTCTATGGCTTTGCCTTCTCCCAGAGGGTTGGGGCCAGTGTATGTGAGCAGTGGGCTTGCTCCAAGAGCGGAGGTCCTGACCGGCCTAGGTCCATTCCTCCTACCTGTTCCTGCGTTCCCTCACACACTGGGCCTTTCATTCCCTTTTTTTTTATTTTACCTTTAGCCCATCGTTGTCCGGCATCACTGGGTACACCGGAGACGGCAGGAAGGGAAATGCCGGCAGTGTGGCAAGGTGAGAGGGCATCTGGGTTTTTTTTTCTCAGCCTGAAGGAAAGCTAAGGTCAAACCAGAGACAAGAACAGGGCTCGAGACCAGGAACATCCCACCGTTCCTGTTTGGCAGCAGCAGCCTTCAGCAAAACCAAGCACTACATAAGTGCTTCCCGCATAGAGTTGTTCTCCCCCTGGGCCATATCAGTCCTGCAGGGGACTATCCTCCAGACGTCCTTTCCTTGAGCAATAGGGACACCCCTACAAAGCACGTTGGCCTCCTTGGTGCTATAGTGGTGGTTAGGGCTATTTGATAGGCATCCTGAGGGCTCCAGGTGCAGGCACACTCTCTTTGTTAACTCTTAGTGGTAGGAAAGTCCTGTTGGATGGTAGAAAGCTCTGAGGGGATTCCCTAAGCCTCTTACCCTTCCCTCCACAGGGCTTCCAGCAGAAGTTTGCCTTCCACAGTAAAGAGATTGTAGCCATCAGCTGTTCCTGGTGCAAGCAAGCGGTGAGCAAAGTCCCCATTGAACATCTTACTACTGTGGCAGCTGCGAGCTCCTATGAGGAACTTTCTCCTCACTGCCTTCCCATTACAAAATTCCAGCATGGTTTCCTCCAGCACTCCCTGCAGTGGCATGGGGGAGCTGGGAGGAGGAGAAGGCGGCTGTCCCCAGCAAACTGAGCAGCCAAGTTTTCTCTCTGTCTCCTTCCCTAGTATCACAGCAAAGTGTCATGTTTTATGCTGCAACACATCGAAGAGCCCTGCTCGCTGGGTGCTCATGCTGCTGTCGTTGTTCCTCCCACCTGGATTCTGCGGGTCCGGCGGCCCCAGGTTAAGTCACCTCAGCTCTTGTGGCTCTTTCATGACTCCTGCTTGCCCAGAAACTCCTCACAGAGTTTTTGGGTTTGTTTCTTTTCTCTCTAGAATCCACTGAAATCTAGTAAGAAGAAGAAGAGGACATCGTTCAAGCGGAAATCCAGCAAAAAGGGAGCCGAGGTGAGAGATGAGAGGACAGGGAATGACCTTGTCCTGGAAGGGCGGAGGGTCTGGGCATTGAGGAGCAGGACTGGGAAACAATGGGGCTTTGCTGGGTCTGCACTGAGGTTAAGGAGGGTGAGGTGGAGGAAGGGTACTTGCTGGCAGGGCGGATCTGAGCTATAAGGCTTACGGGGTGGCTGGGACATTCTCTTCCTCCCACTCCTGACCTGCGTGATGTTGGGGCTCAGTTGGAGGTGGGAGTTTGTGTTTCCCCGGGTTTGTTGAAGGACCTGCGGTGTCTCCTGCAGGAAGGGAGGTGGAAACCCTTTGTCATCAAGCCCATGCCAGCTCCTCTTATGAAGCCCTTGTTGGTGTTTGTGAACCCCAAGAGCGGTGGAAATCAGGTATGGCCTTGTCCTATGTCTCCCTGAGAAGGCGCCTCTGTGAGGGTGTTGCCATTTGGTTGCTGAAGTCTCATCATAGTTTTGGTGATGTCTCAGCTGCAGAAGAGGCAAGGCAACTCCCGCAATACCAGTTTGCTGCCTGGTATTTCCCACCTAGGCCAGGCTTTGCCTGAGCCCCCCAAGAACAATGTTGTCTTGGGCTGTCCCCAGGACCAGATGCTTTCTTCCGCCGTCCACTGGGAACCCTGTTACCTGAAATCTTTCTTCTCCCCGTAGGGAGCCAAGATCATCCAGTCCTTCATGTGGTATCTCAACCCACGGCAAGTTTTTGACCTCAGCCAGGGTGGACCCAAGGAGGCGTGAGTACTGATGAGGGCAGCACCCTTCTCTTCTCCATCTCTGCCCCACAAATTTCTCCCCAGTGCTCTTCCCACGGCTGGGCTCTGATGCTCCATAGCTTCCTTGTGCAAAGAGACCTCCAACAAGTTCATGCTTTGAGAGGCCTCTCTAGGATACCTTGTGGTCAGTCAGTGTCTCCTGTCGGAGGGCTGGTCTAATTTTAAGGCTAGTAGCAAAGAGACCATCTGTGGGGTGAGGTTCCCAGACCTAGTTCGTTATGTTCAGTTAATGTCATATGAGTCTTGTCTAATTGCTGCATTTCGGTTTATCTACGCGTGCACAGGCTGTGGACACCTCGCTCTTCCTCCGCAAGAGCTGGTGAAGCCAAAGTTACTGTGGCTTTGCCCATTGCTGTGAACTGCCCTGGTGATGGGGAGGGAGACACACACGTGGCTTTGTGAACACCAAGGGCTCTGTGAGGGCAGGAGCTCCCACAGCCATTGCGTAACGTCTTCAGTGCCTTCTTCCTCCCCTCCTCACCCTCCCTGTTCCCTGCAGGCTGGAGCTATACCGCAAGGTCCACAACCTCCGGATCCTGGCATGTGGGGGAGATGGCACGGTGAGTCCCCCAGCCCCTTCGTGCCTGCGGTGCCCTTCGCCCCAGGCCTTTCCTGTGCCAGCAGCAGCCCTCCTTGCTGTAATCCAGAATGGGCAAAATGTGCACACTGTCCATGGTACAGCTGGTGGCACTGGGTACTGCGGGTCCCCTCAAGCCCTGCTTCAGGGAGTACTAGTCTGTGGGATGTCTGGATTTGTAGCCCTTTTGGGGGCCGGTGTCCCCACTGGGGTTACTGGTGTCTCCCACAGTGCTCGTTTGGAGCATTAAAGACTGTGAATAGCCTCAGTGGTGGCTAAGGGGACCCCGTCTCTGCCCCTCTGCCATCGCTAGTGCTCCGAGTCACCTCCACCTGCCTGTCCGTCCCTGAAATAACCAACTGTTTCTTTGCACTCTCTTGCTCGAGCAGGTGGGCTGGATACTCTCCATTCTGGACCAGTTACGCCTCAACCCACCTCCTCCTGTGGCCATCCTACCTTTAGGGACAGGGAACGACTTGGCCAGGACGCTGAACTGGGGTGGGGTAAGTGTTGGGCACAAGAGCCCGCTGCTGACAGGGAGGCTGAGCGCTTCGACTCTGCTTCCAGACACATGGGTGGGGATTTGTACAGGCTGGGTGTTTTGACTTCCCATAAATTCAGACCAACAAATAAGTGCCAAGTTTAGTTACTTTTCTTCTGACATTTGAATTATTCTGCATTATAATCTATCATAGTTCTATTATAATCTATTAGGACATTAACAAAAGCAATCATTATTTCAAGCTTCAGGAGATTTTTAAAAGGAAGATGTATTGTTTACATTTAAAGTCTCACTTTGTTGTGCGTTCAAGTAGAATCGATCTTTTCCACATCTTTTGCTCTGGGATGGCTTCCCAAAGCCCGCTGTCTGTGTGGCATCTCTGTGGGAGGCAGGTAGGAGACTCATCAAGTCCTACTCTCTACCAGGGTTACACAGATGAGCCTCTGTCCAAGATCCTGTCGCATGTGGAAGATGGGAACATTGTGCAGCTCGATCGCTGGAACCTCCGTGTGGAGCCAAACACTGATGCAAACCCTGAGGAAAAGGATGAGGCGGCCACTGACAAGGTGGGACACCTCCTCTCCATGTTCGTTCCCTGCGTTGAGGGATCTGCATTCTCCTTCTCCCACTGGCTCAGGCAGCCCCTGGGGCTACGGTGTTGGGCTGACGTTTCCCTGCTCCAATTCTGCTCCTCTCCTTGTGGCTCTGACCCGTGGCACTCATGGTGAGGTGTGTAGAGATCAGAACTGAATGTTCACCAGAGGGTTTTAACCACAGCTTGCAACAGGTATAAGCCCAGTCCTCTCTGAGACTGTTTGTTTAGCAGATGCATGGTACCTTGGAGAGCAGAGTGTGTCCCCTTGGGCCACATCCCTTATCCCTAGGAGCCGGGGTCCATCATCTGGTGACCTCTGTATTTTCCTGGGAGGAAGGCAAGCCTCCGCTCCATCAGCCTCATGAGCACAGAGCATGGGTCTGTCATAGCCTGACCTCGTCTTTGGCGTGGCCACACGCTTGCAGCCTCATCTTTGTTCCTCCTTTCTGTTTCAGCTCCCCTTGGATGTCTTTAATAACTATTTCAGCCTTGGCTTTGATGCGCGGGTGACACTGGAGTTCCACGAATCCCGAGGTACGGGGTGGGTGGCAGGGCTGGGGCAGGGCCTGTGGTGATGGGATGCCTCAGAGGAGGGCCCATAAAACGCTCCTCGGGAAAGTGAACAAGAGGATTGCCCCAAGGACAGGGCTGGATGTGAAACCTGAGGAGCAAGCAGAGGCTGCAGAGGGGAAGAAGGGTACCTGCACAGGAAGAGAACTGGGAGCTGCCTCCTGGCCGAGGCTGACTGGAGAGCTGTGTCTGGGGAGAGTGAAGTATTTCCATGTGCAGGCCAGTGACTTGGACTTTTTTCCCCTTTCCCTAGAGGCCAACCCAGAGAAGTTCAACAGCCGATTTCGGAATAAAATGTTCTATGCTGGGGTGAGTGTGTGGAACATATCTGGGCATGCAGTGTTAGCATCAGCTGGAGTACAGGCATGGCCCCAGCTCCTGTCCATACCCTCAACTCTTGCATCCAAGTTACACGGGCCTTCATATGCACCCAAGCTTAGCCCTCCCAAAGCTGGAGAGGTGCTGGAGAAAGGCTACAACCCTGAGAATCGCAGCTCCTCTTGGCTGCGAGCGCTGCTGGTGGTACAGCTTGCTCTCTGGCCTGCGGTACAGTTGCTGTCTTGATCTCCTGCCACTATTGTTCTTGTTCTCCGGCTCACGGATGATCACCCAGGCAGGACCTCCCCGGAGCTGTGGGGAGGCAGGCTGTCCCCCCTGCAGAGGAACAGGAAGCCTTTTCCTAGGGTCTCCACGCTACTTTGGTCTTTTATTTTATACCTTGGGCTAGTTAACGGCTCCCTGGCTCATTATGCCACTCTCCTGTACCTCACCTCTAGAGCTTTGTGTCTCAGTGTCGTCTTTGTTCCTCCATCCCCCCGTCCTCAATATACCTCCCTGCTGCTGTGGCTGGGTGACCAGTATTTGAGCAGTACTAGAGGCCAAATGCTGCTCTGTACCATCTCCCTCTCTCCTGCTCGTGTCTCCCCTTCTTCCTGTACAGTTAAACCCAAAGGGGACCCTGGGATCTGTGTAACAGAGGCCATACTGTCTCCCCTGGTATCTCTAGATGGGATCACATCAGCTCTGTTTTATGGTACTTCTTGCAGCTTGAGACTGAATTTGTCTCTTGTGACTTGGGTCTCTCACACAAGGAGACCCACCTGGCCAGCTTGCTCTTCCCTAAAGCTAAGACTGGACTGGCAAGTGAATACTATACTGGGGGGGGTGTTACTAAAGGTGCCCTGAGGTTTTTGGTGGACAAAACGGCCAGAGGAGTGGATCAGGTTGTTTTGGGAGGGGAGAAGAGAGGGCTTCTGCCAATGGATGAGGAAGGGATTTGCTGCTCTCAGCAGCTGAGGTCTGAAGGTCAGTGGCAGGCTTCCTGGCTGCCTGTTTCAGTGAACATGTGGGTGCTAATGCTGTCTCTTGCCTTGGCAGACGGCTTTCTCCGACTTCCTCACGGGGAGCTCCAAAGACTTAGCGAAGCACGTCAAGTTGGTTGTGAGTGTGCAGGGGTGCTGTGGGCCAGGGAGGGGGTTGAGCTGCTGAGGGGCGAAGAGCAGTCCCTTGGCACACTGGGTATCCCAGGACTGGGAAGAACATGTGTTCCTGGGGACATTGGCTTCCCCTGGCTTCAAGGGCAGTCACTGTGGGGAGCAGAGGGAGAGGTAATTTCCTCCCAGGTGGGTAGGGTGGACCAAGCTGCCCGTACAGCAGCCTGAGCACCCCTGTGTTGTCTCCAGTGCGATGGGACGGACCTGACCTCCAAGATCCAGGACCTGAAGCCCCAGTGCCTGGTCTTCCTGAACATCCCCAGGTGAGTAGCCCCAGGACCTGCCCTCGTGTACTGGGCTTCTCACTCCCATGCCACACATCTCTGCCCAAGTTTGGAGGGGGCTGTCCGTGCATTGTTTGCTATCCCTTCACAGGTACTGTGCAGGCACCATGCCCTGGGGCAACCCCGGGGAGCACCATGACTTTGAGCCACAACGCCATGATGATGGCTGCATTGAAGTTATTGGCTTCACCATGACATCCCTGGTGAGTTGGTGCTGTTGCTAGTTGTAGCTAGCAATGAGGGGAGCGACTGGTCCCATTGACCAGGCATTGGCCAGCCCTCCTCAACTCCCCAGCCTTCCTCCTGAGGAGCACTAGTGCTGGCCTATGGGTCTGTGTCTGCTCTCTGAGATTTAGGTGAGGTGCTGTCATGCCCTGGTGTCTGGCTGCCTTCCAGAACTTGGTTCGCTTGCAGCATCTGGCTGACAACAGGTGCTCCCCAAATCCACTCCTCAGTCCGTGCTCTTCTCTCACTCTGCACCCTTTCACAGGCTGCCTTGCAGGTCGGTGGCCACGGGGAGCGGCTGTGCCAGTGTCGGCAGGTGGTTCTCACCACGTCCAAGGCTATCCCCATGCAGGTAGATGGAGAGCCCTGCAAGCTGGCGGCTTCCTGCATCCACATCTCCCTGCGCAACCAAGCCAACATGGTGCAGAAGACCAAGCGGCGCAACTCCATGCCTCTGCTCAATGAGTAGGTTCCTCAGATCAATCTGCCACCTCCTGTCCAAAGCAGAAGGGATGAAGGGGGAAGGCATGGGACTGATCCGTCACTCCCAGAGACATTTTGATCCTCTCTCAAGGGCCTGGGAAGGGATCAGGTCACAGAAGTATGGTCAGAATCTGAGGCTGGAGAAGTTGGTGCCAAGCTCCCACCTCAGTCTGTGCTCTTGCCTGTTTTGGAGGGGTGAGTGGGATAAGAAGAAAGTGGGCTGTCTCTTTCTGATCCCTTCTGTTTTCCTTGCCCTGCGTGCAGCCAGCAGCCAGTGCCCGAGCGGCTGCGGATCCGGGTGAGCCGAATCAGCATGCGTGACTATGAGGCACTGCACTATGACAAGGAAAAGCTCAAGGAAGCCTGTGAGTGACCAGCCGAGTGACCAGGGGGTGGGAGCCACAGTCCCCGAGTCCGACAGTGCCCTCAGCTCGGCTGTGCAAGGTGTTGGGGATGGGGCAAAGGCTGCTCCCTGAGTTGTGTCTGCCCTGTTGTGCAGCTGTGCCGCTGGGGATCATTGTGGTTCCAGGAGACAGTGACCTGGAGTTGTGCCGGACCCAAATCGAGAGGCTGCAGGAGGTGAGGCTTTGCGTGGGATGTGGTCATGGCTGGATGCCGGAGATGAAGGGGTTCAGAGAAAGGATTTCTAAGCCTCCTTGACCTGCACACACCAACATCATGCATGCTCCTGCTTCTGGTAGCAGGTCCTGGTTTGCCTTCAGCCCATGGTGGAGACAGGATCCCAAGCTAGATGGCTTGTTGCCCCCTGCCCTCTGGCAGCTCCTTCCTCAGTGTTGCTCTTCTGACCTTGTACTCCAGGCCCAGAGTGTCAGTGGCCCAGAAAAATTACAGGCCAGTGGAAGAAGCCACCATATATCCTATGGTGACATATCACCCACTGGTGTTTCGGGAGGCCTTTCCTCTGTGCCTTTGTTTACTGTGTTCCTTCAGCCCTCTGTAGGCTCTGTGTTTCCTGGCACAGCTCTACCCCTCCCAGGGTGCCTGAATTGGGATTGCTCTCTGCTCCAGCTATCTTCATTTGCAAGTACTAACTTTTGTGCTCCTGCCAACATGCTAGTTCGTGTCCACGACCCGAGCATGGGCTGCATAACCCTTGCTACTGGTGAGCAATGCCTTCTGAGCCCACAGCGTGCCTCCTGGTGCCACACTGCTCTGTCTCATTGTCTCTCAGAAGATTGAAGGGACCTTGCCCAGTCCCCAGTTAGCTGTCTCTTGTGCCTGAGGGAATCCCATCCAGCGTGTGTGTAGTGTCCTACAGGGCTTAGCTGCAGAGCTGCTTGCCCAGGCTACCACACTGGCATCTGCTCCTTGCTCTGCATGCCTGTCCCCTGCCCTCCTTGTGCCCAGGCGCTGGTGAGGACATGCAGACAGGTCCATGGGTAGCAGCTCCCAGGCTCAGAGGGTAACACTTTCCTATGGCATCAACCTGTTAGACTGATGCCTCTGCAACCTCCTGCACCTCTAAAGCTGTGCATTGAGGCTGGTGTTCTTCGGTCACCTCATGGTTTACCTCTTCTGTCTCCTTGGGCAACCACTATGCCTTAGAGCAGGGTAGGGACCAGGCACCTTGGCCAGGCAGTGTGTAAAGCCAGATATGGCAGCATATTAAGCAACACCAATGGGTCGAGAGAGAGGCTGGAAGGCTGCCCATGCAAAGGCTGTAACAGCACACCTTGCCTTTCTGCAGGATTTCCCTCCACAGCCCTCTGCTTTAGAGCGCCTGCTCTTTCAGGTGTGTATGGCCTTGCTTCGTCCTCCAGGCCCATCTGTCATGTGCACCATGCTGGTCTCGTGCACTCATTTTGTGACACCTCTCTCTCCAGTGAGCTGGTGTGTCGGCTCCAGTCTGTTGTGTGCTGCTCCCCATCACTGTGTGCTGTGCCTGTGTTCAAGTTCCCCTTTCCATCCAAGTGCCTGTGGTCCTCCGTGTCTGCAGGGACCTCCCAAAGCAGGAGGGACGCTCTGGGGAGAGGTGGGGAGGCCAAGAGACATGACTTTATCCTCTTTTCTTTTATGCAGGAGGGAGATGGAGCCAAACCGAAGACACTGTCATCCCAGAAGCTGTCACCCAAGTGGTGCTTCCTAGACTGTGAGTATCACAAACAGCAGTCCTGGCTAACCGGGGAGGTCTCGGTTGACTGGAAGTTAGCAAATGCAATGCCCATCTACAAGAAGGGCCAGAAGGAGGATCCAGGGAACTGCAGACCTGTTGGTCTGACCTTGGTGCCGGGGAAGGTTATGGAGCAGATCATCTTGAGTGCCATCACATGGCATGTACAGGACAACTAGATCAGGCCTAGCTTGACTAGGATCTCCTTCTATGCAAGATGATCTGCATAGTGGATGAGGGAAAGGCTGTGGATGTTGTCCACCTAGATTTTAGTAAAGCCTTCGACACCATTTCCCATAGCATTCTCCTGGAGAGATTGGCTACTCATGGCTTAGACGAGTGTACTCTTCACTGGGGAAAAAACTGGCTGGATGGCCGGACCCAAAGAGTTGTGAATGGAGTTAAATCCAGTTTGCAGTCAGTTAAATCCAAGTGGTGTTCCCCAGAGCTCAGTATTGGGGCCAGTTCTGTTTAATGTCTTTATCAATGATCTGGACAAGGGGATTGAATGCACCCTCAGTAGGTTTGCAGACAGCACCAAGTTGGGTAGGAGTGTTGATGAGCTTGAGGACAGGAAGGCTCTACAGAGGGCTTTGGATAGGCTGGATCGATGGGCTGAGGCCAATTGTGTGAGATTCAACAAGGCCAAGTGCTGGGTCCTGCACTTCGGTCACAACAAACCCATGAAACACTGCAGGTTTGGGGAAGAGTGATTGGAAAGCTGCCCGGCAGAAAAGGACCTGGGGGTGTTGGTCGACAGCCGGCTGATTATGAGCCAGCAATGTGCCCAGGTGGCCAAGAAGGCCAATAGCATCCTGGCTTGTATCAGAAATAGTGTGGCCAGCAGGATCAGGGAAGCGATTGTCCCCCTGTACCCAGTGCTCGTGAGGCCACACCTCAAATACTGTGTTCAGTTTTGAGTCAAGAAAGACATTGAGGTGCTGGAGCGTGTCCAAAGAAGGGCAGCGAAGCTGGTGAAGGGTCTAGAGTACAATTCTTATGAGGAGCAGCTGAGGGAACTGGGGTTGCTTAACCTGGAGAAAAGGAGGCTGAGAGGAGACCTTATTGCTCTCTACAACTACCTGGAAGGAGGCTGTAGTGAGGTGGGTGTCAGTCTCTTCGCCCAAGTAACAAGTGACAGGACAAGAGGAAATGGCTTCACGTTGCGCCAGGCTGGGGGGTGAGTTGGATATTAGGAAAAATTTCTTCACTCAAAGGGTTGTCAAGCATTGGAACAGGCTGCCCAGGGAAGTGGTTGAGTCACCATCCCTGGAGGTATTTAAAAGACATGCAGATGTGGTGCTTAGGTACATGGTTTAGTGGTGGACTTGGCAGTGCTAGGTTAACAGTTGAACTTGATGATCTTAAAGATCTTTTCCAACCTAAATGATTCTATGATTCTGAGTCTATCATTTTCCCCTGTGAGTGCTGACTGTCTGAGTTTGGGCGGTATGAGGGGACGGACCCTTAGTGACAAGCCACTGAGAGCCTCGTGGGACTTGGGACTCATGGATGTTGGTGTCTTTGTGGCCGAGTACGGCAGTGCTTTGCTCTCTGCTGAGTCTCTGGTTGCTGACCACGAGTGGAGCGAGGGGCCTTCTATTCCCCCCAGCTGAAAGCAACTTGGCGGCATGTGTCCCATCACTGTGAGATTGTCACTGTGGGACTGCTGGAGTTGCTCTCCTGTGTCATGCAGGCAGAGGGCCCCCCTGCTCCAGCAGGCCAGGAGGGAGGCTCACCAGGAGCATCCCAGTGGTATGGGAGCAGGCTCCTTGCTGGGCTCCAGCTGCTTCTCCCCTGCCTACAAGTAGCTTTCTCCTCTCCCTTTGCCTTCACTGACCAAGAGGCTCCAGAGCTCTGTTCCTGGAAGCTGGCTGACAGAAATGGCTGCTGGTGGCACTCCATCTCCGTGGCTTCCCAGCAGCGGAGCGTAGAGCACAGCTGTGGGTTGCAGAGTGAGCCTGGGAAGCCTTGTGCTAGACAGAAAGGACACAGCTTCTCCCTTCAGGGCTCCAACCCCATGTGTGGGGCTGCTGGCACTGCTGCTCCCAGGTGTCACTACCAGGACTGCTGTACCAGGACCGCTTTCCCTTCTCCTGCCAGTCGCCCAGCAGCAGGTTCTGGGCTCAGGAAAATGTGTCAGGAAAGAGGCCAGAGTCTCATTCAAGACAGCGTAGGCTCATTCAAAGCTGCTGAATTACAGGCCCTCAGCAGCAGCTCCCTGGCTGTAAATCTCCAGCCAGGACAGGATAAATGGGGCTTTTTCACTCCTCTCATCTGCTTTGGCCTGTCCCCACTCTGTTTGTGGAGAGAATTCCCCAGGTCCCTGAGGATCACACTGCAGCAACCTCACCTGGGCAGGCACCAGCAACCTGGAGGGACACAGGGGCAGTGTCGCCCTGCTTGAGGACCCGGTTGTCCTGGCGCTGTGCTCTTGCGTGTCCTGCTCTCCTCTCATGATGCCTTAAGTCCCCAGCCCCTCCCTGCTCCATCGGCCAGAGGTGGCTGTGTGGGTCTGGCTTCAGCACAGCCACTTGCAGCTACTCTCCTGCTGTGGGGATCTCTCCTCTAAGGAAAAGGCATGAGCAGAGGGATGTGCTCTGACAGGCTGCTGCCAGCAACAGACTGGAGGCTGGTTTGAAGCTCTCCTGCTGTCCTAGGAGATAGGGGCTTAGATGTACAACTGGTGGTGGCATGCTCCGTTGTACCTGGCAGTCACAAGCTCTGATGTGGCTTTGCAGTGGTTGGCGGGACATTATTCAGTTAGGTCAGCGGGAGGCTGCGCTCCCTCTTCTCCCAGTCCCGCTTGGTGCCACATTTCTCAGTGCTCTGCAATGAGGTGCATCGTGTTGAATCGGAGCGGTTCCTCACCTGGTGCAAGCAAGTGCTGAGACATGCACTGCGCAGCCCTGAGCTTCATCTGCCTGGGCTAATGCTGCACTGCAGCTGCAAGGCTGGACCACTTGAAAGCCCCCAGAAAGGCCACGGCATCCGCTAGATGTGTTCTTGCCTTCCCTGTGCCTCCCTGCCGAGAGTCACTGAGGAGGAGACAGCAAGCAAAGGCATGTTGCATAGGGGCACAGTGGTGTGCAGGCCACAGGAGCTGCCTCTAGGTTAAAGAGAACAGCAGGGTCCCAAAGGGAAGGGAAGGGAAGGGAAGAGAAGGGGGCTGCTCCTGGTCAGGGGGTGCTGGTCGCTTTGCTGTGCCCTCCGTGGAAACCATATTGCTCAGTGGTGAAAAGTGGCTGTCTTCCTCATCCCATGCCAAGAGTCACCCTATCTCGCTCTGTCCCTGTCTTACAGCAACCACGGCTGATCGGTTCTACAGGATAGACCGTGCACAGGTGAGTGCGGCTTTGTCCTCTGCTGTTGTTCCACCCCCCCCGCCCCCACTTTCCCCGCAGCTGCTGTGAAGGTCCTTCAGTGTCCTGCATTCACGCAGACCAACAGGCAGGCTTAGCCTCAAGGAATGCAGGTCTTGCACCACCGCCCTGTCCTGTGGCATCCCCTGAGGGGTGGTGTGACAGGCCTGGCTCAAGACCAGCCCCAGCACCTCCAGGTTCCCACGGAAAGGGAGGAAGCGTGGGTGGGAGCACAGAGACTTGGGTTAGAAGCTGCCTGTAGGACCCTACAGCAGAGCAGGTGAGGAATAGCAGCATAGCAGGGCCGGGCAGACACTCGCCGACTGCGGACATCTTAATGAGGGGGACGTGGAGATGAGGTGTATGGGTCATCTGCTAAGTTAGTGGAGATGGGAAGCCTGAAAGGGACAAGGAGACTCAGAGGCTTCCCAGGCACAGGCACCAGGACTCTTCAAGTCACCATTGCTCTGCTGAGCAAGCAGGTGGACTACAAGGCCTGGGGTGTGAGGGGATGGAACTATACAGAAGTAAGTGTTGCTTCTGAGGAGGGCTGACTTGTGTCTTTCAGGAGCACCTCAACTATGTTACAGAGATCTCTCAGGATGAGCTCTATGTGCTGGACCCAGAGCTGGTGATCACTCAGACCGTGAGCACCTCACCTGCCATGCCTGACCTCGTCGACTCATCTGCCGCACCTACTGGGCACCATTTTGCATTCCCCTCCTCTTCCTCCTCTCCACCCTCTTCTCCTGCAGCCAGGTAAGTCTGGAATGGGGGTGCTGGACTTCAAGAAAGATGGGCAGTGATGGGAGAGCCAGAGTTAGCTTCACAGCATTAGTTCCTGGGCCAGATTACAGAGGCGCTCCCTGGAAAAGAGCAGGAATTCAATGCTGAGTTAGACCAAGGAGCAAGATGCCATCCTGTCTTCCCTGCTCCTCTGCTAGAGCTGCTGGAAGCAGTGGATTATCACCAGGTGGCTCAGCCATGGAGTCAAGCTCCAGAGCCTGGACGGTGAGGCAAAGGGCATGGGGGTGCAGTGGCTGAATGCACGGACTCCGTAGATGTGATACCAGAGACATTTATTACAATTTACAAGCAGCTTTTATAGATCATTTTTCCAGCCACGATGTGTCCACGCGCCCTTTGCTTAGTTATCATGGGTTACAACCAGTAGTGCACACGCCTGTTGTAGCTTTGCTATTGGCTATGCCTAAAAAGCATTATTTTCTATCTGCTAAGCTGAATGTCAGCTTCTCACACTCCTCATGCCAGCTGCTCACACTTCCTTTTCCTTTTTATCAGCATTCTTCCTCTTTACCGGTGTTTCCCAACTTCATCAAGAACACAGGCTTAAATCATCAAGGTCAAACCTCAACTGTAGCTGTGTGTGTGATTCCACATGGGGGTGTCTTTTGGCCCAACTGAGGCCAGCCTCAGGTACAGGTGAACAACAGGGAGCAGCAGTAGAAATGGGAGTGGAGAAAGGGAAGAACCCAGATCAGGGAAGAAGCAGATGGCGTGGCCAAAGAGCAGCAAAGCCCCTTGTCGTGCCTCTGCTCCTGCCTGCTGGAGAAATGCCACGGGCAGGCTTCTCCACAGCCATCCCTCTAGCCACGACGTGCCCTTTTGGGCGATCTGCTGCCGGGACTGGCAGGGTTAGTTACACCTTTTCTTCTTCCTTTCCAGCGCTGAGCCTGAGTGCTGCCTCCCGCACAAAGGTGAGTCCTGTCCCACCCCCTGTTGCACCCGCTCACAGGTCACGCTGTTTTGGGTCCCTGCCGTGGTTTTTTTTGGCCTGTCCTTTCCTTGATGTGCAGGCAGGAGCCATGCTGTCCATGTGCTAGGTGGGAGCACGGAGCCCCGCAGGCATGTGACCCCAGAGGTGGGCAGGAAAGACCTGACAGTGATTTGTGGAGCGGCCCGGCCAGGTGCCTTACCAACTCCGCTGCGTGGGAAATGGCATGGCTGAGGGGTTAATACCCCACCTGCGGAGCCGAGTGCTGTGGGCTGGGTTGGGGGGCTGTCTCTGCCACAAGGTCAGGGGCCTTGATGAGCTGAGCAAATGGAAAGAGTTTCCTGGAGCTTGAGCAGAGCCCAGTGCCTGGAAGTGTGAGTGAGTCATGGGTGAGAGGCCTCTCGGCCACTGGCTGAGGCCCAGGAGATCTGCTCCCGGCTTCCATTTCAAGTCATCCTGCCCATGGGCAGAAACCACTCCCCCTGCATGTGCACCTCCCTGGGGCTGAGGTCTGGCTGTGATCCCGGCTATGTGAGATCTCCCTCCTTCCCCTGGCTTGCTACATGCCTGAAGGTGGGGAAGCCCTGTAAAACCAGTCTGACCAAGGGGTTAGCACCTGGAGGAGCTCCAGCTGACTGCTGAGTTTCCAGTGCCCAGCCCTTGGCTCCCTGGTTAGATAAAGGGCATTACAGCTTGGCTTTTCTGACCCCAACCCATCTCCCTTCTTTGCAGATGACCTTCTAATAGAAGCTGCCAAGAGCGGCAACTTCAGCAAGGTAGGAGCTCCTGCTGCCTCCTGTGATGTGCAGCCAGGGCTGGCTCTGGGCGCTCGCCCGTCAGCCTGCACAGCTGGCGTACCCCTTGGGCTATGGGAAGCCCTGCCAACCGCACTCTGCATTGCCCTGGAGCAGCTTCTGTTGAGGGCCTTCCTCTGGGAGTGGTGGCTGGAAACCAGGCAGGCTCCTGGCAAGAAGCCTTGTTTCTCTCCTGGGGGACACAGAGGGAAGGGACTTGGCGGCGTGGCTGAGCTGGACAAAGCTTCCTGCCAGGCCTTGAATATCCACACAACCTGCCGGGCACCCCGGGGATGCAATGCTGGGGCTTGGGGTCTTGCAGCTGGGAAAGGCAACTCATCCTGAGCAATCTGGCGATCCTGTAGTTCCAAGAGTTGCACCGGGCTGGAAAAGACCTGATGGTGCGAGACTCCTCGGGCCAGACCGTCCTCCACCACGCTGTCAAATCAGGGAGCAAGGATATCGTCAAATACATCATCGAGAACGGTGAGCTGGGGCCAGAATGCCACCCTTAACAAAGGAGCCCAGCAGCCAAAAAAGCCCAACTCTCTGCTTGAAGGGGCTGCTCCTGGGCTTAGATCCCTTCCCTCTGGGTTTGCTGCATCCTCCTTCTGGCATATGGGCTTTCCCTGGCATCTCTCTGCCGGTACTGGAGTGCCCCCATGGCTGTTGCCGTGTCCTGGCAGGGACCAGCATGTCTCTAGGAACCATTTCTCAGTGTCCTGCTTCTGCCTTCAGGGCAGCTGACCTGTTGTTTTTGGCAGCTCCCACTGAAATACAGACCGCTTTATTATCTTTTTTTTTTAGATCTTTCTCTGTAATAAGTCCACAATGGCCCTTCTTCCCTGGGCTCAGATGCCGTTACTGGCCTGAGTGCTTTGGAGGGAGGACCTTTGCAGGCAGCATGGAAATAGCAGCCACTATGGAAAGTTGCAGAGTGCAACTGGGGAGTAGGTGGGTCTGTCTGCCCCGCAGCTGGGTCTCACTCGCCCTGTGCTCTCTTTCTCTCCACAGCCCCTTCAGAAATCCTCGATGCCGCAGAGGAGGAGAAGTAAGTTGCTGACTGACTTGCATTACCTGTTGACCAGACCCTCTGTGAGGTGGTGACCAGTTGTCTGGGCATGGCATTTATCAGCCACCCTCACTCTAATTACCAGCCATGGTTCCCAGTCCATTATGGACTTACTGCCCCCGAGCAGCCCCCGCTCCTCTGCCAGAGCTGCCTGTACACGTGTGCAACCCACCACGAGCTTCTGCTGCAGCCACATTGCTGTCCCTCACTGCCACCCACACATGCTGTATGTCCCCATACTGGGGGGACATCTCACATCTCCTGCTTTCTCCTCCCCAGCGGTGAAACCAGCTTGCACCAGGCTGCAGCCTTACGCCAGCGCACTATCTGCCACTACATCGTGGAGGCCGGGGCTTCGCTCATGAAGACGGACCTGCAGGTGATGGCAGGAGGGCTGGCAGTGGGGCTTTCCGGGGGGACTAGGGGGCTGGCAGGAGCAGGGCCGGGAGGAGAGCAGAGCGAGAGTGCTTTGGGTGGGGTCTGTGCCAGCCAGACTGGAGCTGACATGAAGCACCCCTGCTTGCCCAGCGGAGCCCAGCTGCCGAGGGGTTAAATCCCGCTCCTCCCTGCACTTCTCTCCTTGTTGTTTTATTAAATTAGAAGCGAGGGGCTGGAATGTCTCATCCCTGTCTCCCCCTTCCCACCCTCCGGGGTCAGAGCAAGGACAGTCTCGCTGTGAGCTCCCTCCCAGCTGCAGGGCTCCCCCCGCTCTCCCCGCGGGTGGCCGTGATGGGGGTGCTGGGAGCTCCCCTTGGTGGGCAAAGCCGGCCCATGGGGAGCAGGAGCAGGCGATAGCAGCCCTTCCCCTCGCATGCCAAGTTAATTGAGACGTGCCTTGGTGCCGGGGAGTTGTGCCAGCCCTGGCAGAGGAGTCACGGGAAGGGAACTGGAGGACGTGTTTTGGTATAGGAGATTCCCAGGGTGGGTGTGTGGCGGAGGGGACGTGGTCATGTCCATCTGGCAGAGACTCGTAGCGATGGGCTGTAGCAGAGGAGATGTAGGAACAAGACAAGAAGGTACAGTCTGTGGGTCTGGGACTCAAGGCAGGAGCCCAGCCGGCGGGTGCAAACTTGCTGGGGCCAGTGGAGCTTGGGGGTCACCTCAGACAATGCACAGCCCCCTTGCCAGCTGCCAGGGAGATGCTGTACAGACAACCTCTGGTTCCCCATCTCTCCTCCTTAGTCCTGGCCAAGGCTTGGGCCTTGCACAGTGCCCGGAGCAGGGCTAGCCTGGCTGGAGACTCAGCTGGCAGCCACGGGATGAGACAGCAGTGCCCAAGTGCGCTGGTGACTGGGAGGAGGCAGGGGGAGAGGGCAGCTCTGGGGGCATGGTCCTTCTCTGCTCCCAGCCCCCTCATCTGCCTGGAGGAGGGGAGCAGCCCCCAACCTGCCAGCAAAACAGGGAGCCCCGCTCAGGCATGCCGGGCTGCCCCAGGGAACGGGGCTTACACGTGCCTGTGTAAAAGCGTGTCTGGGTTTGTAGCTGTCTGGGGACCCCTCTGCTGCTGCGCTGACCTCGCCTGGGCCGCGGGTCACAGCCTGCCTGCACAGGCACCAACCCACCTTGTTAGAAGCCCCAGCACCAGTCCACGGGTTCAGAGCGGGCTGATCCCACCGCCCGCAGCAGTGAGGGAGGCTGAACCTTATCGGTTGGCGCGGGCAGGGGGGCCCTGGCAGCTCCGATTTCAGGCTGCGGGCAGGCAGCATCTCAGTGGGGCTTCTGCAGGGGGACGGGAAAGAAACTCAATTCCTCCTCTGGTCTTTCCCTCACTTTGTTAAATGAGCGCTTGCATTCAGGGGCTATGGAGAGGAGGCCCCCGAGGAGAGCTGGCACCGAAGCACGGAGTGATCTCTCTACCCCTGCCTGTGTGGGTGTGGGTGTGGGACCATGAGGTGTGCCCGCGTCTCGGGGTGCATGTGCAAAAGAGGAACTTTCTTGGTGCATCGCACCTCTCCGCAGCCAAGCGCGGGTGGGCTTTTGTCCACAGCCCAGGCCCAGTGGAGGCTCTGCATGTCTGACCATTGTTCCTGCTGGAGAAATACGCTGCGGGTCGCCCTGGATGCCCCGGCACCCTGCCACAGCCGCCCGTGTCCTGCCGCGCACCAGGGGTGAGCGAGGCAGGCCAGGCATCCCTTCTGGGGCTGGTTTTCAATGGCCGCGGCAGAGCGCCAGGTTTCAGCGGCCTTTCTCAGCGGCACAGCAGAGCCCGGCCGCTTGGCGAGGAGGAGTGAGGAGCAGGGGGAGGGAAGGGGGAGAGGAGATGGAGCTGGGAGCTGTTAACAGATTTGCTTTTTATGGAGTGCGGGAGTTCATTAGTGGACACAGTCCAGATGGCTGCAATAAGCTGGTGAAATGTGATCCTCCTCCGGGAGCGGGAGCACTAGCCGGGCTTCGAGGGGGAAGGGGGGGTTGGTATTCCCAGGCATTCCCCAGACATACCCCTCATTCCTCACCCTCTCCTGACTGCCTCCCCAGCACCGGGGAAGAGCAGGTCACGGGGACCAACCTTTGTCTCTTCTTGAGGGACTGGTGATGGTCAGGGCTGGTTTCTGTCCCTTCAGAGGACAGCTTCTAGCCCTGCAGCGAAGTTAGGCTCCTCGGGAGCACACTTCTGCTCTGTGGCGAGCACGTGGGCATTTGGCTACTGCCTGCCTCGGGCTTGGCTGTGGCTCTGCTAGACCCAGCTGCAGCCACCTTTTTGGTGGGGGAATGGGGGCATCTTTGGGTGCTTGGCGCACTGATGTCTTTTACCTCCCTTGTGCAGGGAGACACCCCCAAGCACCGAGCTGAGAAAGCCAACGACCCCGACTTAGCTGCCTACCTCGAGAACCGACAGCACTACCAGATGATCCAGCGGGAGGACCAGGAGACAGCTGTGTAGTGCTCGGTGTGCCTTAGCCCAAGCCAGCTCAGGCAGAACGAGAAGAGGATGATGGCAACTGGCAGAGCTGTGAGTCTGGCCCAGCCCCAGGCTGGGCTGAGACTCTGTTTATGAGGACAGTGGGTATTTGGGACTTGAAGCCTGGCTCTTTGTGTGTCCCCACCTTTGCCCCTCATCTGCCACGTTCCCTGCCCTGGATGAGCTCCATCCCACAGCCCTGCTGGGGCAGGCCAGGCTGAAGCCCTGGGTCACCCTTGTGCATGGGAGCGATGCCAGTGCCCCTTTCACAGGCTCCTACCTATGATCCTTGTAGGATATCGTTGCTCACCCCCCCCCCCCGCCAGCAGCGCCCCTCCTTTAGATGCTTGGCTAGGTTCGTGTCCTGTTCCTCCTCTCCTGTCAGGCACAGCCGCGGGAGGCACAGTCTGTGCAGGCAGACAGCAGAGGCCGTGAGTCTCAGGCTTTGCCCCAAGGGAAGCGCCGTGACTTACTGCCCCTGCCTCCTCCTCCCTCCTGTCCGTTTGGGGCTGCCCCAGCTCTCTCCTTTGCCCGACCAGGACCTTCTGTGGCAGGAAGGAAGTCCCTGGCACACCCAGCCTTCCGTTGGAGTGTCTGGGGCTGGTGCAGCTGGAAGCAGGGCCGCTGCTGCCCTCCCAGTTGCCTTTAGTGCACAGCCCAGTTGGCCCAGGGCAGGGATATCATGGAGGAAGGCTACCGAGCCCTCCCACCATTCGTCCCTCCGCAGGGCTGGATGAGGCAGCCTGCACGCCCGGTGCCTGCTGGGCATCTCTCCGTGAGCCTGCTGCAGCATGTAGCCATAGTGGAGAGTGGCACTAGGCCTGGGCAGTGGCTGTGATAGAGCCTGTTACATTTCCCAAATTCTGACTTGAATCCAGCTGCCTTTCCTGCTTCAGCTGCCCCCTGACGCTAGACGTTGCAATGGGCTGGGGGGGCAGTGCTGGGGTCAGTGCTGCTCTCAGGGATTCCCCCCATCCCCCCCCAACCTGTCAACACGCGTCCTCAGATTCCAACTCCTGCCATCCCCTGAACAGGGCTTTGCAGGGAAAACTTGGGAGGTCACCTAGACGTGACACAAGCTCGATGGGCAGGCCACCAGCTCACCCTCTCCACTTTTAGCAGAAAGAGGGATCTGGATGCATAGGAAGCATCAGGGCTTCCAGCCCCAAGTCACACCTGAAGTAGGATGGCATTTCACCTACAATCCGGCCATGGGCATGAGGCACCACGACCCGTCACCCCCATGGATATTGTGGGTGCTGAGCATCCACAGAGGCATTAAGGCAGCCCTTCAGCAAGGCCTTTACAGCACTGACAGTCTCTGGGACCAGGAGATGCCAGCAGAGGAGGAGAGTTGATGGCTCTGGGCCTTGCAAACCTGATTGGCCCTTTCTGGGTTGGTGGTGGCTAGGGAGTGGGTTGCTGCTTGCAGCTTGGGTCCCAGGAGAAGATGCTGCTGCCGCATGGGGTCTGCACAGTCCCATCTCCATTCACATACGACTGTGCCTGCTGTGTAGTGCTTGGTGGCACTGTTCGAATCTCCTAATACCAATACCAAAAAAAGGGTATGAGGATACTGCAGAGAGCCAGAATGCCCTTCAGGTTTTTTGGCTGGGGGCAGAGTTCCCTTGGAGGATGGGGGATGCTGTGGTGAGGAGCAGAGGCACACGGCAGTGCAGAGTGCCAGGGGCCAGCAGCAGCATTGGCCATTAATAACAATAGCGTTCAGAGCTGGTATGCCCAGCAGTGCCCAGTGTTCCCATCAGCACTGCTTGCTGGCCAGCAACAGACAAGGCACTGTCGTCTTCTCAAGGGTGCAAACTGCTGCCCCTGAGCCCGGCCCACAGGCGTTTACAGCCCCAGCTTCTCCCTTTCTCCCTGGTTTTGTATCTTCCCTTATAGTTTTTTGTACAGGTAGTTGAGAGACACACTGTCCCCCTCCCCGCCTGGCCCCTCCGTGCGCACATGAGCTGAGTTGCTGTGCAATTCCAAGCCTGGCTTGTGTTTTGGCAAAGGCGGAGGGGATGTTGGTCGCCCTGCCCACAGAGGGCAGGGGTTCTGTGCAATACCTGGATCTGTGTTTCCTAAACGCTGTTGTAGGACTGTATTTTTGTAACTCTGTGAGGGCGCTGGCCCCAGCAGGCCAAGGGCCTGGTGTGAGCTTGCATCCCCAGCGCTTTTCGACTTGGACCGTTTGGATGTTGTTGTTTCTTGCCACTGAAATAAAGAGATGGATGTTTTAGTTCTTGTCTCCAGCTGCGTCCATGAGAATGATACACCCCTTGAGGCTGAACTCTGAGGCTTCTGCCCCCATCCAAAGTGGGGGTACTCTGGGGTGTTCCCTACTGGGCCAGGTCCTTTCCCGCTTTCCTGCACAGCATCCCTCTGGGACGGTTGCTGGATACAGCGACTTTGTCCTGAAGGACCATTTCCCCTACACTAGGGCATACATCGATATTTGGAGTAAGATGGAAGAGGGAGAAAGCACACCGCCATCCAAAGTGATCCAGAAGGGTTTGGAAGTGTGAGTCAGGAGCTGGCAACCCGCTGCTCCTGCCCTGCTCCAGTTCATCTCTGAGGTGGGGGGCAGCAGCTCCAGCATGAGGCCTGCCCTGCCCTTTGCAGCTGCACGGCTGTCAGTGTGTACTGCAGCAGCACCCAGCCTCCACATTTCAAAACATTTCTGTCGGCCCTTTTTGTGACGAGCTGTCCCCAGCCATGCTGCTCTGCAGGGGATGAGCCTACTCTGGGGCTTTTCATGTTCATTCCCAGCTCCAGAGGGGATCTTTGGGGTACTGCTTCCAATGCTGAGCTGGGGCTGCAGCGTCAGGGGCTGGGATTTTCTCTGTCAGGATGACTGCTCTCCGATTACAAAAGCGGGGGATTAGGGACGCTTCTGCTTCCAGCCCTGGACTCGTACGAATGACCGCGGCCAATGCCACCTCTCCTGCAGAGTTTCCTTTGCAAAAGGGAGTTAATCGCTCCAGCCGCCGGCGTGCTGGTGAGGGAGCCAGGGATGGACGCGGTGGGTGATGGGGAGCTATACTCATACCTTAAGCTCGGATTCCTGAGGGCAGCTTGGCAGCCTGCCTGTCGCTCCTGCCGCCCCCTCCGCTCCCGGAGAAGCAGCCTCCTTCCCCGGCTGCGTCGTCCCTTCCACCCCCCTACGTCCCTCTTTCATCGCCTTCAGCCTTTCAGCTCATGCCCAGAGCTAACAGTGGGGGTCTGTAGCGGGTGTAAAGCACACCAAATTGTCCTGGCCTCCCTGGGCTGCTGCCCAGGGACCAGGCAGACGTGCAACTGGGAAGAGGGGGCCTGCTCCGCTTCAGTGCCCAGAGCCCGGCGTGTTGGCGCTTGGCCCGTGTCTTGGCGGCGAGGACGGTCAGTAACCATGGCAATGAGAGTTTTCCAGTCACCCCGGTGTCAAATTTATGGTGAAGGAGAGAAGCGGTCCCAAATGCGATGGCTGTGATGAGGGGTGTTAGGAAAGGGGCAGACTACCTTCACGGCAGAGCCCTGCCCTTCTCTCCGAAGGGCCTCAGCATCCCGCATGTCTCCTTTGCAGGTGTCGGAGGTCCCAAGGTCTGTCTGGCCTCCCATGGGATGGAAACGCACCTGGGGGTGTATGGATGGGGGTATGCTGGTTTTGGCTGGGATAGAGTTAATTTTCCTCATAGTAGCTGTATGGGGTGATGTTTTGGATTTGTGCTGGAAACAGTGTTGATAACACAGGGATGTTTTTGTTACCACTGGGCAGTGCTTACACAGAGCCAAGGCCTCTTCTGCTTCTCACACCACCCCACCAGTGAGTAGGCTGGGAGTGCACAAGACGTTGAGAGGGGACACAGCTGGGACAGCTGACCTCAACTGACCAAAGGGATATCCCATACCATATGACATCATGCTCAGTATGTAGAGCTGGGAGAAGAAGGAAGAGGAGGATGTTTGGCATAATGGCATTTGTCTTCTCAAGTCACTGTTACACATGATGAAGCCCTGCTTTCTTGGAAATGGCTGAACATCTGCCCACCCATGGGAAGTAATGAACGAATTCCTTGTTTTGCTTTGCTTGAGTATGCAGCTCTTACTATATCTATTTCAGTGTCTTTATCTCAGCCCACGAGTTTTCTCACTTTTCTGATTCTCTTCCATCCGATCCCACGGGGTTGAGCGAGCAACTGGGTGGTGCTTAGTTGCTGACTGGGGTTAAACCACGACAGTTCTTTTGGCCAACATGGGGCCCAAAGGGTTCGAGATAACAACGTTTGACTGGAATGTGCTAGGTCGAATTTATAGCTGTTATTGCTGATAAGCTATTAATGGGCAGGCTCCTGCCCTTGCCGTGGGGCTTGCTTGCCTTACTGCATATTAGAGCCTAGTGCTCGTTAGTGGCTGCTTTTTGCTTTCACTACTTGCTGCACTGCTCACCATCTTACTCTGCTGTGCCTGGGAACATTTTCATAACAGCAGTGCTGATGCGCCTGGGCTGCTGTACTGGAAAGGCTGGAACTCCAGTGTAAACTTGAGTCGAAGGGACTGTGACCTGTGGATGAGCCCACGCAGGAGCAGGACACTCCAAAGCATCTGTGGCTATGGGTAAGTCCACACCTGAGCAGATACATTACGAAGTGTCTCTGTGGCGGTCGTTATGTCTGTGCTGCAGCAGTTTCACCTCTAAAGGTATTGTGGCCCAAGGATACGTCCACACTGGAGAAGGTACACCTCGAAGCATTTGCGGCTGTAGGTAAGTTCATGCTGCAGCCCATACACCTTGAAACATCAGTAGCTGTGCATGAGGTCATGCTGGAGCACCTCAAAGCATGTGGCCATAGATAAGCCCACAACAGAGCAGGGGCACCTGTGGAGGTACTGCAGCCATGGGTAAGGCCATGTTGGAGCAGGTTTACTTCTAAAAGGACTCTGGCTGTGAATAAGGCCACACTGCAGTAAGTGTATCTGAAGGCATTGTGGCCATGGATAAGGCCAGGCTGGAACAGGTGCACCTCAAAGT